TGTGAGGATCAGTAGTTGTTGCCATTATTTTTGACAAAAGGAGAGCGTGCAACAAAGGAATGGGAAGAAGAGAGGAGACACCATGGGGCTAAATATCCTGACCAAAACCACTTCTGTCATTTGGGTATCAATTTTTACAACTAATTTGGCACAGCATCACTAGTAGCGAGCTGCCTGCAAAGGCATGAGATGATTTGGGAGTGAGGAATAAGTCTGCAGGCTTCCTCTGCGTAGGCTAAACCCCGTGCAGCAGGGTGCATTGCTGTCTGTGTGATCTCATCTTTGTTTTCACTTCACCCTTTTGGAGCTTGCAGGACCAGTGTGTTGCAGGAGTGGGTTTATTGCCTTGTTGATTTGTAATCCATGAGCGTTTCCAATGAGATATGTGTAATTTATTGGCATAAACAATTAGATCTTCCTTGAATGCCCTGGAGTTTCTGAATCATCATCTGAAAACTATTATTACAGAGCACGTAATCACTTGGAAAATGCCTCTGTCTTTTTTTTTTCCCCATTAAATTCAGTGACATAAATAGCATTTCTATAACATAGGCCTGAAAGGTACCAAGATGCTCTGTATTTCTGTTTTGTTTCACCTTTAGGGAAACTTGGTCAGCAGTGACACTCACAGTTGATGTGAACCTTGGACACTGTCTGTGCACTTCCCTCATAATGTTTCTGCAAGAGGCTCCAATCAACTGAGCAGCTTCAAGTGCACAGGGTGGTTTTGGCACTGTGTCAATTTTAACTGGAAATACATTTCATCGTATCAATGTTTGGTTATCCTTCACTGTGAGAATGGAAGAGCTTTGCTAGCATCTTGTTAAACATGATTCTGGCAATTACAGGAGGAGTGAAGAGTCCAGATTGTTCCCAGAACTAGGATAGATGATTTCTTGGCCTAGTCCTGCTGCTGCCTGCCTTCAATGGAGCACATTTCTAATTTCCCCTCTGCTAGTTTATATGAGTGGTAATTGGGCTCCAGTCTCAAAGGAGGATCAGGCTCATTATAGTTTTCAATAGCTTAAAAAGAGTTACTGAATCATCTTACACCTCCAAGCCTTCCTTACTTCCTCCTTTCATGAACAGCAAAATGGCCTTGAGTTTTGCACAGACCCTTGATGTTCTGGGCGTCAGCTTGGATTCACACCTTGGTTTAGGTCTTTCCCCCTAAGCTTGGAGCAAGATTTCATGATGGGTCTGTAACACTGCTTTTCCTAGGTGTCCACACCAATAAAGCTCCTCTCTATGGATATGATCTGTGGCATGCCAGGTGAGCATGAGGGGCTGATGCTCTCTATATCAGATCAGGAAATAAAGGTAAATCATTAGCAACGTTTTAGTTAAAATTTATCAGAAGTGGGGAAGGCAGGAATCGTTCCTCTGGGTACATGCAGCATGTCTGTCTAAACTGGTGACCCAGCACAATGCTCAGAATTTCGGTTACGGACAGATGGATTCAGCAACTTGTCCAAACTCCTAAAAAAGCTTCTTGGTATAATTTTCTTGGCAGTGACAAAAGAAGTGCATCTTTCTAAAACAGTGATGTGATAAAGATGTCTTCTGATCTTTGCAAGCTGGGAGCTGATTTCCTCTTCTCGTGTCTCTATATGGGACGGTACATTCCCAGGCAGAGAGGTGAGGCTTCGGATTTCTTCCTCATCTAGTGTTTTGGAAATAAGCACTTGCTTGAAAATTCTTCAGTTATATACTGGGACCCTGTGGTCTAAAACCTCACTACAAGGGAGGAGTTTGGTAGAAAACTTTTGTAAGGCCACACAAAAAGCGGCTGAGGAAACGAAAAGTTTGTGCCTACGCTTTACAACAGCTTGAATAAGGGAAATTGTGAGAAATGCAGATCTGATGGCAATTTTTTAGGAGCCTGCATATCAAGAAGATTGAAAGACACTTTACTAATATTACAAACCTCTGCATTGTGGTAGTATTTGAAATTCTGCTAATAGTCGTCTTTTTTTAGCCATACAGTAATTGCACCTCTCAATGGGAACACTACTCAGGAATAATGATCCTATCAAGACAAGGGAATATAGATTGTAGTAAAGGTTATGATGGTTTCTGTGAGAGGCTTAACATTGATCCTTTTAGCTATCTGATTTTCCAAGAGGAAAAAAAAAAACAAACCAAACAAACAACTTTCAGTTAAGCAGGCGATTCAGTGTGAAAATTCTTGTGGTTAGTTGTAGAAGATGGAACTTGAAGTGAATTTGCTAAACTGTTTTCTTTCTCTCTCTCTTTTTTGATGAATGCTTTTAAAAAGAAATGGATTTTTCTTTCCCACACATTTTAAATGCTCTTCTCAGTTCTTTTATATTTTTTTTTTCTAATGCAAGTCAAAATTGTTAGAGAATTCAAAAGTAAAAATCCATTATGTTGAAAAGGCCATGTTGTGAAATGTATCATAAACACCCCGTTAGAGCAGTGCCTGCTAATTAAGGGAGAGAGCCCCTGGGAAACAGCAAACCTATAACAGAGCCCAGCCCCCTTTGATCCTCTGTTGAGTTTGTAAAAACGTTGCCCGCCTAAACTTGTCTGCAGCTTGTTACACATTTTATCCATCTGCTGCAAGACCAAAAATAAGCAATTTATCATTTAGTTGAACTCCAGTTGTTTGGCATATGTGGAGACTGTGGAGTCTTCACTAAGAGGAAGAGGATGAGAGGAAAAGCCAAGTAAAGGCTAAACAGCCAAGCACCCTGGAAATTGCATTGCTTTTGCCTGTAGGGATTATGTAGGTGCTGGACTGCAAGTTTTACAGGTGTGTTGCAAGTGTTACTGTAAAGTGGTTCAGATTTTTTGGGTGAAATATACTTCAGTGTTTATCCATTGTCTGTAAGGTGAAATCAAACCATTTGTTGGGGTTCTCTGGCTTTAATTCAAACGAATTTCCAGGTCTTGGGTAGAATTGTGGATGTATATATAGGTGTGTGTATGTGTCATGTTTCCCCCCAGCCTACTTATAGCAATATGATCAGGGCAACTCCTTTGTATGTGAAAGATGCACTTTCAAGTCTTATCTCTCTCTTCAGATGCCTTCATGACTACATTCCAAGCCCTGCAGGTGATTGTAGATCACTACTTTAATTCTGTGACTAAAGAAAAATCTCACCTTGAAAAGCTCCCTCTGTCTTTATGGTTGTGATACCAACCTCCCTAAGGCAGAGTCTCTTGTTCAGGACTGCGATGTTTGCCTGAGCCGTGGTGCAGTGAGCCACAGCCGGGAGAGGTGGGATGTCTCTGTTGGACCAACTGCGTGTTAGCTCTGAAATCTAGTAACAAGAGGAGCTAATTATTCCCTGTGCAAATATCACAAGTCTGTGTTCTGTTGATTTTTGGAACAGATCAGCACTTCATTTTAGCACCCATGTGTTTTATCTGCATTGGTTAGCTGTCACTCCTGGATGACTGCACCCCTCCAAGGGCTACTGCTGTCATGTATCTTGCAGCTGAGATGGAGGCAGAGCATGATGAAGTTCTCCTTTTATCAGAAATCAGAGATTCATTTGCTGAATTGTCTGTAAATAAATGACAGGTTAAAAATATATCCAGTGTTTATCCACCCAGATTTATCTCCTTTCATGCCTGGGAGAATGTTGCTGTTGCAAGTGCCATCTCCTCCCAGTGACTTCACTGGTGCTGTGACATACTAGTGGCAAATCTGCATTATGCTGAAAATGTGTTGTTTGGAGTGTCTAATCACTTTAGGTCTATGAGAAAATAAGTTGCACAAAGTTGAGAGGCTTTGCCAAGGACAAGGTCGGAGAGAGGAGAGTCGATGAAGGGAATGGTTCACCTGGGAGGTTATGCCATGACATCGTCTGTTCCTTACCAAAGATTTAATGCATGGCAAAGGGTGTTACCTGGGTCCCAGCGCCTGAGCCAGAGGCCAGCCATTGACAGGTGGATACTGGAACAATGTATGCCGTGAGCCCAGAGAGTTTGTAACAACCATCAGCTTTTAAAATGGCTTTAGTAACCTACATACATTTACTGCCCTTGTTAGGACTGTAATTCTTAACACATACTGAAGCTGATAATAAACTTGTTGGAAGTGTCTGCTGTGTAAGTCATCACTGAACAAAATTATTTGGCACAGGTGTTTCAAAAGGTAGAGAGACCTCTTAAGCCACTGATCTCATCTGTTAAAAAGCTGCTCACCGAGCAAGGTGGGATCTTTAGTTCATGTTCCATTTAAAAAACCAATTTCCACTGGGATTTCCTCTACATTTCTCTGGAGACCATTTCACAAGGTAATACGCTCAGGTAATACACTGCAGAGCTTATTTTTTTTCTGCTGCTTATACTGTATTTACCCGTTTATAGTTTGATTTCTCCTAGACCTCAGAATTCAGCAAGACACTGGTACAAATTTTTGAAGCTTCTTTTTGCTTCTTTCTAGTTGTCTTATAGCCTAAAATCTGCAACTATTTAGTTCTTTCTTTGTAAACCCATCATCCTATTTGTAGGTTTCTCCTTCTCAGAGTTCCTAAAAGAATATCTGTCTTGTGATAATGTGGGAAGATATATATTGGGCAAAAAGGCACCTTAACATTCTGCAAGTTATGTTTTTATTTAGCGTTTGGATGAGTTTTGAGAAAACATATCATGCTGACATGATAGCAATGCTTTTGTTAACTTGCTTCTGTTCCCAGTAATTTCATACCTATAATATTCCACCTCCTGTGTTGGTTTTCTTAATTTCTGTGAAGGACAAAAAAACTGTGAGTTGTGTCACACTGTGGTCAGAGAGGACTTCTTTGGAGTCCTTCTGAAGCAAAGCATTTGAGATAATTGTCTGCCATGGGCTGGCTCTTCATGCTTTAGGCCTGTCACTTTAATCAATCAAAACACAATTCTCCCCCGATTCCCCACCCTTCAATTTTCCCATCTGGACATGCTAATGCTAAGGATGTGGTGGAAGTCAGGGCCAGGAGACTATTTGAGATTTTTGACTACAGGTTGTTTTGTACTCTTTTTACCAGGTCTGTTGACAGCTGTAACCAGAATGTGTGCGCTTCAGAAAAGGTACTTCTGTTCTGATGTTCTGTGTTTTTATTTTTATATAAGGTTTAGCAGTTGAATGAAGTCTTTCCAGATGTCTGTGGGAATATGTGTAATTTGTCCATCATTTCTGGATTTCTAGTGGTATTCTCAATCCTCTCAGTTCTAAACATCTTACATAGATAGTGTGTCGACAGGTGTTGATGGACAAGCAATTTACAGTAATCTCTTATGGTGCTTATTCTGTAGCTCCCTGCATTATAATGACATGCTGGCAAACCTGAACAACTGATCACCAGATACTGGCATAGTGTTAAACATGGCTTCTGAGGCTGCTCAGAATTTCCTTCAGCCACTGTCTTCTTGGATGTCTCAAATATATGAAGCTATCCAACAAGCGGGAGACTCTATATCAGCTTCACTGCTGAATTTGAGTGGAGTGGGTCGTAAGTCAGAAGAAGAGAGGAACCAGGACTTGGAGAATAATGGAGGATTATTCTTGGAGAATAATGAGGATTATTCTGAGGAATCAGATGATGAACGACACCTGGACCTCTGGGATGAGGAATATTTATATCCTATTGAAGATGGTCACATTGGGGGTCCTGATCTTGCTTCACAAGACCTCCCTCGTGGTTCTGACATGAGTCTGCACAGGCAAAAACGGTTTAAAAATACCAGCAGTTTACCAGACCAGTGTGTTGAAAGCACCAAGTCTTTGATGGCCAATGGATCCTACTGGATGAATGAAGATCTCCAGCCGCTTGATCGGCTTCCCCCCATCGCTGAGGAAGAAGGTGAGCCCTCTGTGAGGATGGGAGGTCATAAGCACAACCTCAGCTTGGGTGGCTCCTTAAAAAGTAATAATGGCAAGGCAAGTTTTGCAGGTAAGCTGCTAGCACGCACCCTGACAGTATTATCCAAACTTGTCTTTCCTGGTATTAATTTGATTTAGTTGCTAATCTGCTCGTTATGTTCTGTGTCATCTTTGTTTCCTACAGCTGAAATAAAACTCCCCAAATCCCAAAGAAAAATCTAACCTTTCCTCTTCTGTTTCCAATTCTTCTCTCGTTTGTGAGACTAATCTCATTGAAATAAGTGCAAATCTCCAGGGTGAAATGCTGTGTATTAGAAGGCAGTCAGGCCCTGTTGCTGTAGCGAGGAGTATTTTTCTCCCCCATGTTTTGTTTCTGGTAGCAGGACCCTTCAAAAGGAGTGTTTAGCCTTAAGCCTTTGCTTTGAGAACCATCTGCCTTTGCGTCATTGCTATTAAAGATATATATAATCTCAAACCTTGTTTCTTTGTGCCAGGAATCTCAAGATGTTACTGTGCCATGTGCTGTGAAATGCTGTACTAAAAAGCCAGCCATATCTCATGATTTTATGGATGAAAGGCTCCCAAATCGCTTTCCTCCCCTCCCACCACCCCCACAGGCTTTTCAAATAAGACTGAAGAGGACAGCAGGCAGGAGATTATGGGAAGGAGAACTGAATTTGATATTTTCAGTTTTAAATAGGCCTAACTATGATTTCTGATCATTAAGTGACATAAACATCTTTTCAGGTGATTGTGTTCAGGACTGAATTTCAGCCATGTGACTTGTACTCAACTAAATACTGCCGTAAATATGACTGGAAGTTACCTGGGTCATAGAGGACTGATGAAGACATATGTCCCAACCACAAGAAGGAAAACTGCAGTCCTGCTGACAGCATCCTTGGGTCTTGCTGGGTTAAAGCTGCTCTTTATGAACATCTCAGGAAGGGGGATAGGGAAGGAAAGGGGAGGGGAGAGTGGTTCTACAGTGCAGAGCTGATGAAGAACTTGAGATACACTGAATGGTCCTCAAAATTTGGCTTCAGATATCTAAATTAATTTTTTTGTAGGAGGCAGTAGATCCTCTTGAAAATGTTTATTTTGTAATGTCCAAGAGCTTTTCATCACTCTTGGCTTCTAGGGAAGTCTTACATATTTAGCCTTTTCTGTGCAGACTGCGGAAGATCAGCCTGTTTGTTTTTGTATTTAATAGGAATATCAGACTGAGAGGGTATAAACCTTGACGGTATTCTTTAATGAATGTTAAAATTAGCTCTTTTCTTTATTACTATTCCTCACACTGTTATGGCCAGGGAATAAATAATTAAAAAGAGCTTTTCGTCTAGCTGTTTTGTCTCCCAAACTGGGACTGCTTGTTTCATATTCCAAATGAATGATTGCCAGTTCTCAGGTTAAGCACCCCAGAGCTGTATCTCTTGGATACAAGTGCTATCCAGGCTGCAACCTTGTCTCCCCTACCTCCAAGAGGGGCTGTTGGTGCGATTCATGGCAAATCCTGAGTAGGCTGGGAAGCAGCCATGTGCTGAATGCGTTATTCTGATGGTGGCCTCCAGATCTTTGTCCTGTCTCTGGACTACACCCTTGCTGACAGTGGATGGGAGAAAAGGTGGTGAGGTCGCCAGGAAATGGGGGCCAGGAATGGGCTGCTGGCACTGTCAGAGCAGTTTCTCACTTGCAGTCTTGTCTACAGGGACATCTGAGAAAGAGGGTCCTTAGAAGTGTGTGATGGACCGGATCAATCTTCCTGGTGAGAGACACATAGAGTGACAGTCAGAAGCCAGAGTAACCCATCTCTGCAGTTAGAGGAGAGGGTGACTCTGAACCTCTCTCCCAGCTGAGAGCAGATACTGATCAAGTTTCTGTTGGACTCTTTCTTAATATTTATTGGCTTTCCTTCTCAGTGAGTTTTCTGGAGCCATGGCAAACTGGAAGTTTGGCCTTACATAGCTCCCCAGCACCTACACTGCCACTGTCTAGAGCTTTCTACTTCCACATGAAGCACTTTAGAGGGCATTGCATAGCTTTTTACACCAGAGGGTATGTCACTCCAAATGCTCTCAAATAGTCTTTTAACTTTTTGTCTCTGCAATGCACTGCACAAAGGGCCATCCAATGGCCTCAAGACTTTATAGTCATGAATTTGGCTGTTTGAGAGTTGGAGGGCTGGGAGCTGATGCTTTTTTTTTCTCAGAACTAGGTTGTGTGATAGGAGAGAAAGTGCTGAACTGTGATTTGAAAATGTCTTCCACAAGATCTTTGATGTGGAACAACTCATTTTGCTCTTCTAAATGACCTTTCACTTCCAAAACACACACATGCTCTTTGTATTTCATTTTCCAACTCTTTATTTCCTCTTTTTCCTTTAGATTCATAATCTAACATCAAGAGTATGAACTCTTTTGATGATAACCTAGACATGCAGAGAGTCTGTAATACCCTGGCAACTTAAAATTTCAGTCATGGATTAAAATGATAAAGATAAGATGTTTGAGATATCTTTATTTCTGTTAGCTTTGTTACCTAACCCTAAGTGACAGTGTAAGCGAGCATATGGACTTGCTGACATTCAGCAAAAGCATTCAGTAGCATCAATATTAGCTTTGAACGTTTTTCCTTCCATTTGACATTTTTTCCCCCCATTTCTGCAAAATACACGTTTCCTGTTTATCCTTATATTCTTTTCAGAACAGTGCATCTTGACTTTATTTCACTTAATGTACCATATTTCTCTCCACAATAGAATATTTTAAAGCTAAATTGGCACAAAACAGTAGCAATGCTCAATGCTTTTTGTTGCCATGGAAATATTTCTGGGCACTTACTGAAGACCTGGTTGCCAATAGTAATGTAACAGAGAAAATAGATATGCTTCATTTAACAGCCACTGGTGATTAAAGAGCCACAGAAACCCATTACAAGGTCATTCCAATATATAGTTTATTGGGTTTAGGGGGAAAAAAACCCCACCAACCCTAGATGAGAATCATCTTGTTTTCAAAAAGATGCAAAAGAAAATCCAATAGTTGTTCCTCTCTCAAAGTTAGAGCATGCTTCTGAGATGAAATAAAATAAAATTGCAGTTAAAAGCTATCATTACGCCTTTTCCTTTTTATCAAATATGTTTTTGACCACATTTTTGACTCCTAGGAAATGTTTATTAGCTCCCAGAGTAGCTTTTCTGAGGCCCCAGAGCAGCACACACATTATTCAAAACCATTTTTAGGCTTAGGGATCTAATAAAGTGTTTGAGCAATGAAATTCTTGGGTTCTAAGTCAAACGTCTGTTAGATACTATGAGGCATGCTAATCGGCAGGGTGCAGGTTTGGCTGCTGCTGAGTCCTGGTCTGTACTTAAATGATGCTAGGAATGTTGTGCCAAGGTTTCAGACAAATACAGGGAAAAGTTTTTCACTTTGGATGCATCTGATCCACAGTTCAGAAATGAGGAGGTAGTTCAGCAGGAAATATTGCAGCACCAGGTGTTGGTTTAAGAGGTTAATGGTGGGCAAGCAGAGACCCTTCCATGCATGCAGATCCCTGCCTCCATCTGCACATCACGTAATTGTAAATTTTTCAAATACAGATGAACTTGCTCTTGAAGCTGCCTTAAGACCCTCCTTCATTGTCTAACCTCAGTGTTTCTGATAGAGAAACTGTCTCCCATCGCAGAACGGGGAGGGAGCAGCCTTTGCATCCCCCTGCGGCTAAGATACTGCTGCTCAGCTGACTGGGGGTGGCTGTCAAGAGTGTGGCTGCCAAATCCATCCTTGCACATTTGGCTTAAGAATTGAAAAAAAAACAGTGGAGCAATAAGCCACTTCTAAAAGTAGTGCACTGCAAGCAGAGGGGTGGAGCTGGCCAGTCCATCTGTTTCCCAGTCTGAATCTATAGAGAAAAAAAGAGTGATAATGAAAAAGGTGAAGAGCAGCAATAATTGCACTATGAATGCAATGGCTTTAGCCCAGTTCTTCCTCGGGGCCCATGTCTTTTGCAAACAGAAAGTCAAAGTGACCATTAAGTTAGCAGTTTCAGCAGACACTGCTCTGAAAAGGCATGGGGACAGACGCACCAGCAGAGCTGAGTCTTCTGAATCAGAGCTGAACTATTTTTGCACAGCGAGTTCTGTGATTGAAGAGTCTCCCGAGCTGTCTGACACTGTGTTCATAACACTAGTGTAATATATAGGTGAGCACTACACTTAAACTGCAGGAAGTCCTTTGAGATTTTTTTCCCATCAATTAGACATTCTCGGTGCTAGCTAAAGATTGTGTTTCAGTTCCACTAAAATAAATTTTTTGACCTTGGAATGCTAGGAAGTTTTGATGTCCTAATAGGAGTCTTGTCTAGATGGCTAGATAGTTATCCTCAATACATGTGTTAGGGGAAGCACACCTCTGAGGCTCTGGGAGTTTTTAAAACTAGAAAGCAGTATTGCATTTACTTACCTTGGCCTCCAGCTTAACAGGGGTCATTGATTTTTGCCAGTAATTGCTGTAGTAGAGGAAATTATTCTTTCTGCTGTATATGAGCATTCTTGACCTCAGTAAATGACCCTTCATATGGCCAGGAATTCCTAGGCAAGATGTGAGTTTTCATTAGGTCCTATAAACCCATACAGCAACATATTCCTGTAACAAAAAGATGCTGCTTGTGTGATAAATAAAACTTCTGCTTGAACCTGAGACTATAATAGATAGATAGCCGGTTTCCATGTAAAGATACAAAGTGATCTTTATGAATTTTATCACCTGTCTGGCTGCGGAGCCAGCCAGAATGTAGCCCTATAAAAATCAGTGCCAGTACTCATAGCAAGACATTTAAAGAGGCCACACTGAATCAATAGCACCACTAGGACTGAGTGAAGGAAAGCAAAGACAGTGGATAAAAGCACTTCACAGAAAACACTCCTGACTGCTCGAGTGGGAGAAAGCACTAATGTATCTGGGGATATGCATCTGGTCTCTGAAGAATGTGGTACAAGTCTGCAGCTTTCTGAAATGAAGTGCAGATGTGAGTTTGCATTGAATGCCTTCTCTCTGGGAAATTCAG